GTGGAAGAATGTAACTTCAAAAATTAAAAACCTTCATCCTTGACTATGCTATTTTGAGATCTAAGAACAGTCATTGTTAATACGGCTGGTGGTAAAATTTCACATCAGCTGTCAGGAAATGGCATCTGCTATTAAAACAACCAACTCAATCAAAACAGAGACACCCATGCTTTACCCAACCCTCTCTTGTCTTTTGCCCATCCGGCTAAGAAACAGTTTGGTTTGGTTCAGTCTTTGAATATCTGAGAGAGGCACTGAAGCACCCCAGGGACCGTGAGACCCTGTGTCTATTTGGGCCATCCTAATCTCTCCTCTATATGGTACCGGGGAAGAATTGATCCTGTTTTTGTTGGTAGTAGTATTGTATTTTGAGTTTTTGTTTTTGTTTTGTTGTAGTTTTTTTTTGTCTTTTGTGTTTGAGATAAGGTCTCAGGCAACCCAGGCTGGCCTCAGACTTTCTGTGTAGCTCAGAATGATCTTCAGCTTCTGATCCTCCTGCCTCTACCTCCCAAATGCTAGCATTACAGGCACAGAGTGGGTCATCATGGCCAGTTTATGTGGTGCTGCTGCTCAAACTCAGGCTTCTTGCATGCTAAAGAAGCATTCCATCAACTGTAGTACATTCCCAGCCCTGAAACCTGGAGCTTACTAAAGGAGACTTGTCCCTACAAATCATGATGAGTATAGATTCAGAAGTAATCCACCTCAACTCAGCCCTATAAGCACAATTCTGGAGGAATGGTCCACAAAGACAAATTTTTGTAAAAGGACCATCCATACTCTAATCCCTCTTAGTTTTTGTACTTGGGACCAAGCCTTCATGGGAAATGACAGGAAATAGGATCACACAGGAAGGCGGGGAAAACCAAGGGAGATGAGCATAAATCATCTTGGGTATAAAATGTAGAACTATGGCACAGGGGACACAGCATATCCTTGTATGGGTTGGGGGTATAGCATATCCTTGAAACCTTGGGTTGTGTCCATAGCACCAAAGTATGGCTATAATAATTTGATTAAAACTCTGCATTTAATTATATCAAAGTAATTACAATTATAGTTGTGAGAACTATTTAGCATTTATAACATCATAGTATGTACATGGTGGCTATTAGGCTCCTCACTCAGATCAACTCTTTGCTAAGTTCCGCTTGATTTCAATGCATATGTTGGACAAGTTTAGATCTAGCGTATTGTGGTACGTGGTTATCTGCTGAAAACATACTTTATTCATCCATTTATTTGATTTCCATATATGCGTGATCTTTTGAAAGAGTGTTGCAGATGTCCTCATTGGGGGGGGGGGGCTGGGACAAGGACATGGCCCAGGGGCAAATATAAAATATAGGCTTCGTACTGAGCATTTTAGAGAGGAGAGGAGAATCCTTGTGTGAAATCTTGCAGGTAAGATAATCGTGCTGGTGGGGAGTCAGTTTGGAGGGGACCCAGAAGTGATGACTATAGGGTGTTGGTGATGCACAGATTTAAGGCCCAGTGGAGTTTGAGACTGAGCTGAAGAATTGGAGAGCTTACAAGTGTGGTATAAAGGAAGAAGAGGAAGAACATCTGGGGGGAGGGAGGTTGAGCTATGGCCTTATTCTTAGGACAGGTGACTGTCACTTCCTATCTATTGCCAGCTCCTTGCTTGGGGAGAGGCCTATGCCACCCTTCAAAGGCTTTAATTTTGAGATATGGCATGGAAAAGGAGAACATAAAAGCAAGCCCATGAATCGCCCCTTTAAGTCATAAACCTTTTAAAATCCACAGTATTATTTAAGGGAAAAGGACATTAGAAAACAGAACCACATGGAAATAAAGAAAAATTAAAGGAACAAAGTTAAAATTATAAAATAAATTAAATGTTTCACATAGAGAGGAGTAGAATATGAAGTATTTAACAATCCACCTTAAAAAAAAAAAAAAACTAGAGGAAGAGAAAGATAGTTTAAAATAAACTCAGCGCAGGGAAAACAAATGAAATAGAAAATCCCGCTTAAGAGCCGGAAAAGAAAAAAGCATCCAAGTTTCACTGAACTATTTTAACAAATACAGGCTGTTAAATTTATATACAGTTCTTCTGCTCTGGGGACTGAGAGCAGATAAAGTTGCTTTTGGAAACTGTATTCCAAGCTTCCAGAACAAAGCTGCATCCCCAGAGTGTCTGAAATCCAGTGAAAATTGCCTTTCAGTGCAGCTAGCAAATGTTTCTACCATTAGTGGCCCTAATCTTCTCAGAACGAGAATGGGAAGGGGGAGACGAGAGTCAAGTGAGAAAGTGGACAGGCCTTTTTAATGGTCCCAGGAGAGAAAAGAGTGACGCGGTAGAGGTCTGCTGCAGCCCTGCAGAAGATGGAGAGAGCCCTGGCAGCCCAGCTGTGTCCACACACCCCAGCTGCTGAGGTGGCCTCTCTGCCTGGCAGCTGCCAGGCCTGCTGGCTGAGCTGCCACCACAGGTTGGGCTTTGAAAACCATAGAAAGAACTCTGAGCCGCCGCCGACACCTGTACCTGTCCATTCTCCACAGGGCCAGAGATGAACAGGGGTCCTGACTGCTGACATCCCTGGGCCTCTCTATTTATAAATAAAAAACTGAACGGGACATATGGCACTCCTTGTCGCTGGTTTCTACCTTTGATGGTGTCAACTGTAGCATGGAAGCCAGAAAGGCCCGGCCACAAAGTGTTTGCCTACTTCCTTTAGGGTCTCTGCAGACTCAATCTTTCCCCCACAAACCCCAAAATATAAAACTTCCAAATTAGATTTGGAACTTTCTAAAACAGTTGGTAATCATAAAAGTAATTCTTCCTAAGAAAGCTTATAGTCCAACTCACCATTACCTCACACTTTAAAGGCAGTTAATTAAAATTTTTTATCACATAACCTTGGCACAGTGGCACACACATGTAATCTTAGTACATAGAAGGTAGAGTCAGGAGGATCAGAAATTCAAGGTCATCCTAAGCTACACGTGGAGTTCAAGGACTGCCTGGGCTACACAAGGCCCTCTCTGAGAAAAAAAAAATCCAAACAACAACAGCAACAAAATTATATCACAGAATTATGAGAACAAATGTACTTGACAATCAAATCCATGTAAACCATTAGTTGATTTCTGTTGTGCAAAGTGATGAAAGATGAGTGTTTTTCTGTTTCCTTCAGAAATTCATGAGGAGAAAATAAATTCTGTTTGTTTGTGCTATTAGTGGTCCTTGCAAGATATCTTTCATATCTCACTTATATTTTGCCTATGACAATTTCTTCTTCTGGATCTAAGTAATGGGGTGGTTGCATGCACCTAGATAGTTCCAGATATCTGGGAGGCTGTGGCAGGAGGATAGCTTGAGCCCAGGAGTTTAGGGCCATGAGTTTTACCATATTAGCGTTCCTCTCACTCCAAATCTATACAGTACACATTGTAAAACAACCTTACAATTTCATTTGCAAAAGGAAATTCTCTAAGAAAAAGTAAGTAAACCAGCTCATTTTTATTATGTACCTGAGATGGAGGGTGAGTCCACTGGAGTGCTGTGTCTATGGAGGCCAGAGATGTTTGGTCCCCTGGAGCTGGAGTCACAGACTGTTGGGTGCTATCTTTTGTGGAGGCTGAGAACCAAATTCATATCCTTTTCAAAGTCAGTAGAAAAGGATATGAATTTGTCAGCTTCTGAGCCATGGAGCTTCCCTCTAGCCACTATAATTTTTACTTAACTTTTAAATTTTGCTTAATCTTTAAACCTGTTGTAAATCAATACTTTAAGTTTCTTCTATTTATTATGTGTGTGAGAGAGATGGGGTGCAGCTCATGTGCGACCACACATGTGTGGGGGTTAGAAGACAGTTCTGTGGACTCAATTCCTCCGTCCACCTCCTTGTGGGTTCCTGGATTCTAACTCCGGCCACCAGGCTTGCATGGTCAGCACTTTTACCTACTCAGCCATCTCTGTAGCCCACGCCTTTGAACAATGTAACTTAGAAATCCACAGACTCATATATGAGGACATTGTGCATGGACACCCATGTCTTGAAATGTACTGTTCCCCCCCCAGCTCTCTCGCTCTCGCTCTCTCTCTCTCTCTCTCTCTCTCTCTCTCTCTCTCTCTCTCTCTCTCACACACACACACACACACACACACACACACACACACCGATGCCCACACACATACTAGCTCTTTTCACTTATTTAATAAAGCTGCCAACTTTGTTTCTCCCTAATCATCTTGAAATTCCTTTCTACAGTATAGTCAAGGATATGCCCCTTTACTTGAGTGGAGGTCCCTGGCAAGGCATGGGTGTGGGTGGGAGTGAGGGGTCTTCTCAGTATTGTGGTAGCAGTGCTGGATATATTAACCAACTTACTCTCATAATACCTATCATCTCCTTGATCAGATTAGGCAACTCTGTGTTTGAATTTGGTGCATCTCAGAGCTCTGGTTCAGCAGAGTGGGCGCAGGTTTATACCATCATGCTGTCGGCAAGAAATGATGCCCCTTCTCTGGACTTTGCTGTCAATAACTCTACCTCTCACAGAGCTCAGGGTCTTTGGGAAATTGGAAATTGCAAATTGTACAGTTGTCTTCCCAGGGTGCTTCTCTGAGTTTTCAGCCCAAACACATATTTTCAATGATCCTTCTCTAAAGTGTGTCTCCAAAGCATATTCCCTAAGTATGTGCATATGTGTACATGTATATTTGGTTGAGAGGGGTGATGATATGGAACCCAGGGTCTCCGGCATGCTCTGCAAACCCTCTACCACTGAGCTACACTCCCAGTCCCCAGAAACTCACTTCAAAGTTTCTCAGCCACTGCAGGTAAAATACACATTCAAAGGCTTCTGTTCTAACAACCCAGCTCAAGTGTAGAGTTTACACATCATCCTCGGAGAAGGGAATGGAAATGTGTCTGCTCTCAGGCTTCCTCGGTTCTACACATACGTGACAACACTGAACTTGAAGGGGGTCCCGTAAAGAGCACTAGCCGTGAGATGAGGGCGGACGTGATTACCTCCTGGTCTCCAGCTTGCAGATCCAGCTCACTAGAATTCTCCTCCAGAAAGCATTTCACCTTCTCCACCTCTTCCATGCACTGGAAGAAGGCCACTTTCTCCAGGGGGTTGCTGCTGTGGCAGGAGCTGATCTCTTCCAGCCTCTTGACCTTCAGCATGCTGGTGGTGAGTCTGAGCAGGCTGCTGTCATGGGTGGAGTTCTCATCTCCCTCGGTCTCCGACTTGTAAAGCAGGACACAGTCCTGACTTCTCAGCACTCCTTTCTCTTGACTATAAAAGAAGGAAACAAGAAAAGTTGGAGTCATTTACTCACTATCAACTTCCAAAATCAGGAGCAACGCCGATATGCACAGTGAAACTTTGTCCATTGAGAAACTTTTATTTTTACATTTTCCCACAAAGTTAAATAGTAAGAAGCACCCTCCCAGGTGACTATGTCCATCCTTCACTGAATTAAACAAGACATACATGGAGAGAAAGTAAGACATCTGACCCCAGTTATGTTTATGCGACGTATTTCACGTTGATTAAAGAAACCACAGACCTTTGTACACACAGGAATGGCTGGGAAAATCCTTTTGAAAAAGGAAGTTTTATATCCATCTACATTAAAAAGTAATAAATGAAATAGAGGTATTTCTATCTAATATACCCCCCTTTTCTAGAACCCAAGAAAGACTGAGTCACCTACAGGAAGATGAGACAGGAGGGTCTGTCACCTGCCCTGCAGAGATGACCACAGGTGGCTGCCACCTGAAAGATTTCATTCACATCCTTGAAGTCTGTTCGCCCCTCCTTCGACATTCCAGAGACTTCCCACTTCCTTTCACCCCAGGAGTCCACACTCTGTCCCTTCGGGCTCTCAATAAAAGACCACTATGCACCCCGCTTTGAGTTTCATACTCCCGTGCTGTGAGCATGTGTTTTTTTCTAGGTGTCTAGTCATTACCAGATTTTTTTTCTTCACAGACTGAAATTAGCCAAGCTGTGGGAGATAAGGGGCAAATTTCAAACCCCTCCACCATATCAAGTGATGGGTTAAAACACAATTTGAGGAGTGGGGTTTTTGACTGGCATTGGAAGGCTTGCTCGTCACAGTCCTGCAGGAAAGGCTTGTCCAGGAAGAGGGGCTCCTGCCTCTTCTCTGAAATTGCACCTCCTTTTAGGCAGTGTCTCCACCACAGCAATTATCTGCCTGCACTTCAGTCTCTAAGTTATTCAGTGCTGGGGATTGAGCCCAATAACCCACACATGTTAGGCAAGCACCCCTACCTTTGAATCACACCGCAAGGCCCCCGCCCACATCTTCAGACATTTGGTAGGGATCTTTCAAAAGAAACTCGTTTCGGATGAAGAATGCAGCCCCACACCTCTCACTGAACCTTTACTAACAGCTGTGCCCCGAGCTCGGCTCTGCGTGCTCTCTCTGAAATACTCCCCATTCAAATTAGGTAACGCACACACTGCAAAATAACACTTAATCCCAGGCACACGAATGCATCTACATATTCACACAGTACTTGGCTATCCAGGGAGAGAAAGATTAAGGAAGATTTGAATTTGTGCTTTCCTGTGGCTAGTCCCCGAGGCCCCCTGCTGGAAATTCTCTGAAATTTGCTTCATTTTCTCTATTTCAAAATCATTTCTAATTCTGCCAGTGAAACTTCACCTTTCATTTTTACAATTCATAGATTAAAATAATCTACTAGAGTTATAAAGTATTTCAAATATAATACTCTACAAAATCCTATATATTGCCTAAAGTACTTAGGTTCAAAAAAATTAAAATGCAAATAACATCAACCAGAACTCTACAGATACACTATAGATCATTATTATTATTTTGTAAACTTCTCTGAAAAAAATTATAAAAATAAGAACAGGTGCATGTCTATTTAATGGTGAACTGTCGATAGATATAATGTTGAATCGCAGGCCATACTGAAAGTCATAAAATTAACATATTAAAACAAAAGTTTGGGTTTAACACATAATCATTCCATAAAGAAACACTAAGCATTGACTCTGTCTGAAGTTTCAAACCCCTTGTTGTTTAGAGCGACATAGAGAGAAAAGGGGGATTGGAGGGGCAGTGACCATAAGCCCGAGTGATACCGTCTGTAGGAGGACATCCTGGAGTCTGAATCACTTCACAAGAGGAGGATTCTTCCCAGCAGAGAACAGGAATCTGCAGACTCCGATCGACTGTAGAACTCTCCGGTAAGAGACTTCACTCTCAGTGGGAAGAAGTCATCTGGAGAGACAAGTGTCTCCACCGGAGGAAGTAGCTTCTCTCAAATGCCACCCTGAGCCCCTGTTTAAACTAATATGCTCCTTGATCTCATGTTGCTCAGCTGTTGCTTCCTTAGTCAGATGGGGAAGAATATTAATTTTAGATGCCAGGCCTTTCAAAGCTGATGGCTCCATTTCAAAGGTCAGGTAGGGAGATGATGAATTGAGAACGCAGGATGAAATATCACCTTTACCATCCTCTCTCAGTTCCCTTGTAATTACAGGGCTGGATTTGTGTCCTCTCAGACCTGATTGCAGCAACCAGGATGCAAGGTATGGGAGCCCACAGTTACATACACATTTGTTTTGATGATTATGGAGAGATCCAAATGTAATACGGTGCCTTCTGAATGCATTTAGCAAGCATTGTTTATTCAATACTTAATTGTATTTAAAAGGTCTCTAACTCCCCCTAGTTTAGGGGGAAGGTCAAAGGCACACATATCCAGGTAGGTACAAAGAACAGAGGTGGAATTCTCACCAACTGTCCTTATGAGTGACACCATGACTTTTCCTGATTCATCAAGAAAGCAACCACCTTCCTAGTTCTGCTGTTCCTAGATATATTTTCTTGATATAAAGTTTACATTGCCGACAAACTAAAACTGACACAGACTCCTCTCTAATTGCTCATGACCCAGACAGCTGTCACCCTTTACTAATCCCTCTGAGACCCATTGCCACCACAGCCTCGGGTACCCTTGCTTTGTCTTTCTTTCTTTCTTCGTCTTCTTTTTTAAAAAATGTAGATCAGTGTTTTCCAGTCAAGACAAAAATGGGTGTTTTCCATTTTAAGTAGCATTTGGAGGACTCTAGCAGAATCTTATTTGAAAAGCAGAACTGTTGCTATTTTTCTAGGATTCCAAAACATAGTTCTTCAAGAAGATACATTATTCAATAAAGTATTCTCAAAAGGCTGAACCGATTTCAGGTTACCAACTTTTGCAGGTGTGATAACGCTGTGTACAAATGCTGACAAAGGCAAATCCTTCTCAGAATGAGGAAGATGTCCGTAGTCACAGCCTCCAGTCAAACCATGAAAATGAAGTCAGAATTCCTATCTCCTTGGCTCCTAGCCACAGCACGAGAAAGCCAGGACCAGCAGATACACCACTCTTAACAAAATCCAATAGTTAGTTTTCTTCATTTTTCCTCTAAAACTTTTTTTTTTGTTCTAGAATCCCATGCATGCTTCCACATTTCACACATCGGGATTTGTGATGAATTAGACACAGTGTGTAAAGGAAAGACAGTAGATGGGCATTGCAGAATATCCATCTGGGCTGCTCATAAAGTTTCTGAGTAGAAATCTCTCTTCCATGCTAGTTTTTTTTTTCTTCATACTGACCGGGTAGGTGGAGGTTTGCTACTCGGCTTTCTCTGTAAGCTTTGACCACTCCCTTAGTCTGAGAGCAAGAATCAAAATCGAGCACATCAATCAATTTAACTTCCTTTAGGAAATTTAAGTGTTCTATTTGATTTGGGGCACAGTTATTTGTTACGAGAATTGCACCAGTTGTGGTAAGAGTTATCCAAAGCTCACTGGGTAACTCTTACTATGACTGGTACAAAGGACACTGGTAACTCTTACTTATGACTGGTACAAAGCTCACCAGATAACTCTTACTATGACTGGTACAAAGCTCACTGGGTAACTGAGTGCTCATCACTGACTGGGATATATTTATCCACACCACCACCTCCCCCACTATGTCACTTCCAATTGTCAGGGATCATCAGTAAAGAAAGGGCATTGTAAGAGCTGGAGAACACAGAGGAGTGCTGTAGTGTGCTGTCTTCTAGACGTCACATGGCTTACACTTATGAATTCACTGCAGGTGTAGTTACCTGCACAAGACCTGCACAAGATCAAACCAGCCAAGAGGGTGTTGTTCTCTATGCCTCACCCCTTATGAGCAGTTGATCGCTGCTAGGGGAGGGAAAATCATTCTTTTTAGGAGGAAATGAAGTTGGGAGGGAGACATGGAAGAGTTGAAGGAGGGAAATGGGGATGGATATACTTCATTGTATACATGTATGAAATTCTCAAGAATAAAGAACAGAATTCCTTAATTTTTTTAGGCAACATTTGCACTATGCAAGGAAGAGATTGAAATCTGAAGAGCCACATGAACTGGCATCATTGACAGCTCACCTTCTGCTTGGTATTCAAAGCAAGCCAGGAAATGTTGATAGTTTCTCTTTATACACAGCTTTCTGAATGTCTCCAGAAAAACAAGCCTTCTACACACAAACATGGAGCAATTGTCATAGATATCAAAATTCAGATGAAAGACTACCTCATTCCAGCTGCCTAACAATTACATTTTACACCTTCATAAAGCACCAGAGAATATGAACCTAAATACAGGAATTGATAAATTGCACTCCGTCAAAATTCAGGGTTTGCTCTTTAAAATACAGCATTAGAAAAATTAAAAGACTGGCTACGGCCTGGAGAAGATGTTTTGATAGCACAGATTTGATAAAGGGCTCATATCCAGAACACACAGAAGATTGCTACAACTCACTAATTGGATGACATACATCCCAGTTTTAATAGTGGACAAAGGATTTGAGTAGACGGGCAGAAAATAAATACAGAAACACTAAGAATCAGTCATCAGGAAGATGAAAATTCAAATCACAAAAAAATAACATTTGCGTCCACTGGGAAAGTTTTAAAGAGGTAGAGGAAGTGAACACGGCAAGGATGAGAAGAAAGGGGCGCTCTCTTCAGACTGGAAGTAGGCACAGAAAATGGCACAGATACATTTGAAAGTGGAGTATCAGTTTAAGTTGTTTTCTGTAAGTCTAGTACTTCTGGGTACACAGGGAAGAGAAATGAAAATGCAAGAACATGCAACCCTTGCACACACATGTTGGAAGGTGCAATACACACAATGGGCACAATTAGAAACAACCCAAATGTCCATTAGTTAGTTTGATGAAGGGAGATTACGAAGTGGTATGTCCATGCAAATGGAATACTAGTCAGAAACAAAATATGGATGCTTGCTATTGACACGAATGGACTAAAATATGGTGCTAAATGAAAAAAGACAAAGGCCACATACTATGGTATCTTATTAAAACAACAACAACAAAAAAAACCAGTCTATAGGAATTAGCTGTACATGAGATCTCACTGGATGGTGCATGGTGGTGATAATGGTTAGACAACTTACCAAATGTCTTAAAACACCGTTGAATTGTTAGCTGGGCGGTGGTGGCACACGTCTTTAATCCCAGCACTCGGGAGGCAGAGCCAGGCGGATCTCTGTGAGTTCCAGGCTAGCCTGATCTACAGAGTAAGATCCAGGACAGGCACCAAAACTACATGGAGAAACCCTGTCTCAAAAAGAACAAAACAAAACAAAACAAAAATACTGTTTAATTGTATACTTAAGTAACTCTTATGATCTGCAAAGTATACTTTACTAATGTCACTAAGAAAAAAGAAAATTCGGTTTTAATATGATTCATTAAAGCTAATCTTGTGAAAAGAAGTGGGAGGGTGAGTGCTCCTGGGCAGTGCAGAGCTAGTTGTTCCAAGTGACCAAGGCTGGGATCCAGGGAGGCATAAATTAAACCCACAGTACTGGGTCACCTGGGGCTGAAGAAAGGAAACACATGAGTGAGTGAGAGTTAAGAGTCTCCTGTTTTCCCTCTAGTACAAATACCACGTTAACATGAGATTTTGTAATTAATAAAGAATGCGTGCTTATATGAAGTTAGCTCCTACCACTTATTGTCTCCTTGGAGACAGGATACTTCCAGCCAAGAGGGTAATGATGTGACCAAATGTCCAGACTTGTTTACAGTCCATTTGATATTGGACCTTTCAATTTTCCAAGTGACAGTGAGTAAGTAGCTAAATATTTTGTAACAAAAACCAAGGAGTCTAAAACTCCCAGGCAGGCCGTGGGCAGAGTTCAGTGGTGGAGTTCCTGCTGGCATATATGTGGCCCTGACACAGAAACAAACTCATATTTCTTAGGCATGTAATAAATTTTCTGTGTTCCTTTTACTGTTTAAAACATGAAAACAAAAGAGGTGTTACAAAACTACATAAAAACATAAATGGGATCATTTAAAATTAATTTTTTAAACAGACTAAAAACTGTTTATTCCTCCAGTGCTAGGGTTAGTTGTTCTTTTAATTATGTGCCATTTTATTTTTTAGGGATTCAAATGCCTATCACTGGGATGATGTTTAGAAAATATTTCATTAGAAACAAAATGCATCATGCTCATAAATAAACTGGTGAAAGTTTCCAAAGCTTTATATGACTTTTATACCATTTTGTTGTATGTCTTTGCTTCCTAACCTTAAAAAAAAAAAAAAACAGAAAGCAAAACCTAGAAGCTAAAGATGTAGCTCAGCAGGGGGATGTAGCTCAGTAGGAAAGTGCTTGGCTAAGGTGCATGAGGTCCTGCGTTCAATTCCCCAGCACAGTAAAAATGGATAAATTTTAAAGTTGAAACCTGCAGAGGCATTACAAGAAGGGTACAGCAAATAGCTATATACTATTTTCTTATTGTCACTGAGCGTCAGTGCTTTCCATATCTGCTGTTTCTGTCTCCTTTCTAGAGGCTGCAGTTTCTACGGCACTTCATCCCTACATGCACGAGCATGTGTCCTCAGAAGGAAGACCTTTCTCACATGACAGGGTCCATTAAATATCCCATAGCGCATTCTCTCTAAAGTCTTTTTAAAAATCCTCCTTTCTCTATTTAGGAAGCAGTCACCCCATTCTTTTTTCCTTTTATTCTATGTGAAATTGTTGTTTGTGAAAACTCCAGACAAATATGGCTTCATAAATTATCAGTTTGAAATGCCTAATTGTGTCTTCATGGAACCAAGTTAGATTTATGGCAAGAAAGCCAAAGAAATATTGTATTTTTCTCAGGATATCCAAACAGGTGGCACACAATGTCAACCTGTGCCATCATTAGTTAGTAAAGGTAACTTTGATGATCTGATTATGGTGGTATCCACCAGATCTCTCTAACGTAAAAGTTATATTTATCTCTTTCTAAATGATATGTAAATTATGAAACTCTGTGA